TTACTTACTACTTACCACATCATCGTTTCTGTCAAATTCATAACGACTGGTTTAACTGATGTTAAAAATTGACTTTCACCACTTTTGGAATTAATCCCACTGATCAGTAATAATACTTACAAATACTCATATATTCATATCTCAGGACCTTAGCATCATAATTTAAATATTTAATTAAAATTAAATTAAATTAAATGTTTGCTTTTAATAAATACAAACTGTATTTATGGAACTTGTCATATTCTAGATTGACTAAAATACCAAATTAAGATCCACTTTAATTTATTTAATGCTTGCATGCACTTTCTTCGGTTATCTATAAGAACATTTAAAATTATATGTCCCAACTCACTTTTAGGTCTGCTGATCAAGAGCAGTCATTTTTAGTTATTTCAAACTGCTAACTGGCTCTTTTAGCCAACCAGGCTTTCTCAGATGAAGCTTCAAAAGCCTCTATTTCCACTAACAGTATTCAAATCCCAATTGAAAAAATATATATCTTCTTACTGTGCTTTTAAATTTCTTGTTACTTTTAATTTACAGTATAAGTTACACTACTGTGTCATTTAAACAATTTTTTTTGCCCCGCCTAATCATTTTGAAATTTCTATTATTTTTTGGCAGATTCTTAAACTTAGATTGGATCTTATTTCTCTTACTCTCTATCTCCTCCATTTGTCTTTTCATTTGCACTAAGTGTTTCTCCAATTCTTCTTTCTGTTGTGTCATTCTAGAAACCTCATCATTTATAGTCTTTATTAGTGTGTCTGTATTAAATCCAAACTGTTGATTATTTTGTTTTACCTTATCTATTTCCCCTTTGACATCGATCATGATTTCTTTTAGTTTGAAGTATCCCTTTGCTTTATCTCCCTTTGCTACAGCATCATTTTCAACCAATCTAATCTTCTCCTCATTCTCCGTAGCCAGTCTTTCTGCCTCCTCTGTTTGGCTGTTAAATTGTTCTTTCTGCTTCTCTATTTGAGTCAAAATCTCCTTTAGAACATCAGTCATCTTCTGTACTGCATTCTTTTGTTTTTCTTCACACACTTTTAACTCTTCATCAAGTTTTCCATTTATGTTGCCCAAATCTTCCAGCAAAGACTGACATTCTGTGGTAGGAGTATCTTGAATTTTCATCTCTGTGGGAAAACAAATAAAAATTAAACATATACACTTTTTTTTAACATGCATTTAGTTCAAAATAGCACAAATTTACAGACTTGACAGACATGAAATGAATGTATAAATAAACCAAATACATTATTAACTCACTGTTTTTCCACATAAAAATAGCGACTGCAAGAACAAATATGAGGCAGAAAATCACATTAAAGGTGACAGCAACAACACAACTTGCTGGAACCACGAAGAAATCATCTGAAATAATAAAAAAGTATATTTTAAAAGCACAACACCTTCATTTGCCTTAAAGGTATTTTATTTATTAAGTTAAATGTTTTTCTTCTACCTGGAACATATATGTGTGTTTCTCTGGTCTGGTTGGTGTTCCTCTGTTGGACTCTGCAGGTGAAGTTGTTGTTATGTCTCTTCTCCACAGTCACTCTGCTGCTGACAGTATAGAGGTCATCGGGACCTCTGAGGGTCTCTGTAGGTCCAGCAGAGAGGAGGTGTCCCTCACTGTCCATCCATATTACTTCAGGCTCTGGATACCATCCTGCAGACTTACAATCCAACATCACTCCGCTGCTCGCTTTATCGAGTCCTGCTAAGTTGACACCAGGTTGGGAGGAAGTACCTGATGATAAAAAGAAAAACGACACATTTCATCAATGACTGGTCCAATATTTAAACTAAATAAATGATCCTTTTTTTCATAAATGATTATTTACAGAAATAATCATTTAAGAGTGGCATATACTGGTAGCATTTAAAAGTACATATTTAAACCTTTGTGTAACTTTACCTCAAGACAATTACAGTTTTTCTCGATTGCTTAAATACTATAACCAATCTTTTGAACTAAAATTTCAAAACCATAATGCTATTTTTCAAAAAGCATACCCATTTCCCTGAAC